TTCCCAGAGGTTGCTTCGACGCGCAGGTAAAGGGAGGGCCGCCGGAGCAGAGGAGAAAAGCGCTAGAAGGGAGAATTGATAGCGGCGCACCAAGTGTGGTTGGCAGGCCAGGCCAGGCCGCCAGGGCTTGTTCGCACACCTCAGCGTTCGACTGGCTGGTACGGCCGAACTCTCGTCTCTTCCATCTCTTCTCTCTCTGGACAGCCAGCAGCAAGCAGGGCAGGCCTCGAACCCGCCACAGCGGAAGCCAGTTAGGGCGCAGGCCTGGGGTGTGATATTGAGGAATTTTGTATCCCTGGCTCAGAAAGGCAGTCCAATGTACTCTCTGTACCCACAGCACAACCTCTCTTCTTCGTCTCTTTTCTTTTTCTGGGGGATTGCTGGAAGCACGTTGGTTAACCTACTAACCAGCTAACTAGTTAACCAAGTCTCTTCCCCTAGTGACTCTCTAGAGTCTCTGGATGCGCTTTTCCTCCACATGACATGGGGGAACATTATCCGGTAGCCGGTGGAAGGGGAAATTTGGAAAGACAGAAACAGTTGATGCACAGGCAGGAGGCGATCGGCTGGCGTACCGTTCTTGAGATCACCGCCCAGGTTTAGAGCGGGCGTCTGTCTATGTGGCATATGCATGTTTCCAGTTGGGGTCCATCTCTCCCTCTCCGCCCTTCCATATCTTTTCTTCCCTACCATATGCGGTACCGCATGCTGATGACTTTCTGCATCTCGATGTGCACCACGGCCGAGGGGGACAGGAGAAAAGGCGTTGATCACCATGTCAGGATCGGCTTCAGGGAGCATCCTGGACGAGTCCGGCTGTCTAACCTCGTCTCTCTTTTTGCAAAAAATGCAAAGGGAAGGGGGGGAAAAAAGACACAACCACCCCTTGGCTCTATCGTGCGATTTGAGAATTTTTTTTTTTTTCTCTCCCCATGTAACTAACTACACAGCGACGCAGGATGGAGGGTGGAAATACAACAAAAAAAAAAAAAAAAAAAAAAAAAAAAAAAAAAAAACCGTGCTGGCATTTCCAGATTACCCTGCTCAGTCAGGTTAACCAAAAGGAAGAAAAAATAAAAAAATATACAGGCCGTCAGGGTCCATGTCAGATTCTTTTCCCGCCTGGGTGTCTGTTCGTCTGTTCGTCTGCCCGCCAACTCCGCCCACCATCACGGCGAGCTACAGCGTACCGTTCTGGCATCGCAGACTATAAACTAGGTATACCTAGTCTTCAACACTCTCCGCAACGAAGTTTCCGAGATCACTAAGCAGAAGGCAAAAAATCCAACTTCTTTCTCGACTCTGGCGCCGTCTCAGTGACCTCGGGTATGCCCCATAGCCTTTCGCCCAAAGTACCGTCCTCGTTGGGCATAGGGGGTACAGGGCGTACGGGATACACGAATGGTGGGGAGCCGGATGAGGTATCGAGGTAGCCAGTACTTCGGTATGCTCTGTCAACCGGCGGAGGCAGATAACCAACTAAACTGTCTGATATCTCCACATAAAACACATTCTTGTACGGAGTAGAACCAGGCTAAAAGCAGCAAAAGCAAAGGGTTCGGGCCCCCTAAAGTTGCAAGCCTCGCTGCTCCAGCCATGTCTATCACCCAGACTTTCTTCCCTCCTATGCTTATAAACAGAACTAGCTATTCATCTTGTTTCTTTTTTTAAAGCGGTCCCTTTATATGCTTTGCAGATGATGAGAAAAAAAAAAATAAACCTCCAACCGCTGCCCGACTTGCATGTCTCTATGTACCGTTCGACCTCTAGCTCACTCTATACATATACTTATTACTTACTTACATACATACATATCCGCCGGCGGCTTAATTAATTAACTATCGCCATCCCTCTCCCCCATCCATATCGAAGAGCTTGCTTTTTCCTCCCACTGCTTGCTTTTTATTTCTTTCCCTCCCTTGAACCTCTACTTCCTCTGTTCCCAGCCATGGCCTTGCTTATATCGACATGAGTGGAACCCTCACGCCTCCGTAGTTTTTTATTTTTTTAAAAAAGGCTCTTCTTTATATCACTCCCTTGCTCTCCCACTTTATTTCTGCAACAAGCTCTCCCTCACCAGTGTCGAGGATCAAGGGCCAGTCCGCTTTTCAATTGCAGTCCAACGGCTCCCATCAATCAAGCAGCCAACCAACCAACATATCACCATCGCGTAACAATTGCTTTCGACAAGAAACTATCTTCAGCTTGCTTGTCCACAGTTGAAACGAAGAGGGGGGGAACTAGAGAAGGGAAACAAGCAACAACGCGCAATAAGGAGCAGAGATACGGAGACTCTTCCCTCTCACTTCGCCCACAAAGAGGCCTATTTTCAGCATCTTCAACGGCTATCCCAGCATCCATAGAAGATAGCAAGAAGCGGGAAAAGGGTGCAAGAAACCAGGGGGGAGACTGTCATTATCTCTCCTGCATCCGTTGCCAGGTCAGTACAAAGATCAATTTCATCCAACAAAGACCAGCATAGAGAACCCCCTTACTGTCAAATCTTCTTCACAAGGTGCCATGTTTCGTCAATGGTATCCTGCCTGCATCCAGAGAAGACAGGACTAAGAGTCAATACACGGATATGCTGACTAGGCTGGAAATGCCATGTTTTAGACCTTAGGAAAAGAAACGGTCAGGTCAAGCTGGCCAACCTGCATGTCTCTGATTCGCAGTTGGTCTTTTTTTTTTTTTTTTTTTCAACTCTGACGACTCTGAAATAGGGTCTTTGCGGATCTGGTCAAATCCCTGTTTCCTGCTTCTCTGAATTACCAAACGGGTGGTTGCAATATTCTACCAAGCAGAAGAGAAACAGTCTGGGTATCCACCAGCATCTTTGGTATATTATTTGCAGTTCAGGGAGGGTTCGGTCTATTTCCCCCATCCCCTTATTTGCTCTTAGGCCTTCACTTCGTTCTTCTCACTCCCTTTCTCACTTCGGCCTTTCACTTGTACCATCAGCTGTCCTGGTTGGCGTCGGAGTATATCAATCAGCCTGGCCAACTAGGGGAAAGCAACGCCCGGAAGACAAAAGAACACCAGAGACGAGGAGACTCCCGTTCAGTATTCACCTGGAAGAGTTCGTCTGCCGGAAGATCCCACTAGCATCTCCTGCTACGGTTCCGGATTCGGCCGTTTTCTTGCTATTTCTTTCACCGACTGCAGGATAATTCCCTGCGGGCGCCTTATATCGCCGTTTTCCTCATTCTCAACTCCCGCGCAGTCACTAACCGCGAGGAGGTCTACCGCTCCCGGCTTTTGATATATCCTGCTTCTCAAACAGCAACGCTGGGGCCAAGGTGCAGCTCTCATCCCCTCTTCATTGTGGAGGAAGTGTTCTTTTCTTGTCTCCTTTGCCGCAGCCCCTGAAAGATATCGATTCGCTGGCCATAGCTCCAGTCCTCCTTATCAAGTGGCCTCTGTTCTACCCAAATGAAACATCAATCTGGATAGCAAGGCACTCTCCAGACATCTAGTGACGGCACCCAAACTGAGGTAAAACAATCTGAGAGCAGCCTATTGTCACTTTCGCGGAGATTTCCTTCGCCTCTTGTTAGCCCCTCTTCTCTTCAGGGCTGCAATCAAAATCTTTCATTCATAACCTGCAAACAAACCCTTCTTCTTGATAATAAACCCCCCCCCCCCCTTTTTTTTTTTTTTTTTTTTTGAAATTGCCTTCCTGCGCTCTTAACAGGGACACAGACCTTCTCTTAAAAAGCCATTAAAGGAGAAAAGAAAGGCTTGTCCTTCTGCTATTGTTAATTATGTTTAACCAGCAGCCTCCTTCTCCTCCACCATCGAATGACGGTGACGTTAAGCTTAGTCCGCAGGCAATATCACAGACTGGCTTCCAACAACATCCACAGAAATTACAACAACCATACCCTCAGACATATCCTCACAGCCAACCACAACAACTCCGCCCGCAGCATCAGCTTGGGTATATTCCTGCAGGGGAGCCATACTCTTATAGCTATTTGGAAGCTAGTACTCCAGCTATGAGTGGCCCAATGGTCAGTATATAGTTTTCCTGGCCTGGCATAAAGCACTATTTCTAACAGAGAAATGTCTGGAAATAGCAGAATGGGTATGAATCCCACTCTATGTATCACAGTATGACTAGTAGTGAACATGACACTTCGCTCCCAGCTCTGGTAAGAAGCCCGACTGTGAGATATACAGCAGAACTAATACTAGTTGGAAGAGAAAGAATAGCTGCTAACCCTCTCACTTATCACAGACATACCACCGTGCTGGAGAAATGCCAGTACTGGCCACTGTCAGGGCTGGCGAAACAGTAGAAGATCTCAAAGAGGAGCTGGCTATCGCCAAGTCCAATACTGACGATAGAGTCCGTATAATAAGACCGGCAAAGCTCAGACGGCGACCAAAGCCAGCGAAGGCTGACAAGGGAGATGGGCCAACCATTGACGCTCCGCTCAGTGAGCTGACAAAAAATATGCTACATATCCCCATTCGTGATATGGCCGTCTGGGTTAACCGTCCAAAGGAGACTCGTTTGGAGGAAGTAAAGTCGAAGAACGGCAAGATCGCCCGCCCCATGAACTCCTTCATGCTATACCGATCAGCCTATGCGGAGCGGACAAAGGAATGGTGTGCGCAGAACAACCATCAAGTTGTTTCACGAGCCTCTGGACAGAGCTGGCCACTTGAGCCCCGGGAGATTCGAGACTTGTATGAAAGTTATGCAACCATAGAGCGAGACAACCACCATAAGGCACACCCAGACTACAAATTCGCTCCAAACAAAAACCAGGGCATGTCGAAGAACCAGATTGGGAGTAAGAATCCGGGCTCCGCATCCAAAAAGAAGCGTTCCCACGAGGACGAGCTTAGCGACTTCGAAGACCAGCCATGTGATATCACATCATACCCCCGTCCATCAAACAGGCGACGAACTTTGGGCCCCAATGGTGAAGCTAGTAATAGCAGAAACTCCACTCCATGCGACAACGACAGTACTTATGACAGCCGCAACTGCACTCCTATCCCGCATTCACAGATTGACATTTACGGAACCGGGGATGTTAACCGCTCGTCTTGGGAGATGATCAACCCCGGAAGACCTCATCCTGGTATTATATCACAGCCGGAACAGACCCATTACTACCAGCCGTCTATCCACCAGAGCCTTCTTGGGTCCAACATCGAAGACGTGACATACAAAAAGATCGGTATGCCCGGCGGAGTGGCCTATGATGCTACTGCTCCAATGGTTAATATGCCAGGTGGCACCCATCCAGACCTTCTTCAGCCACAACCACTAAACCACAACAGAATGTCCGTCTCCATGGGCGAAGTCCAGGTTGATCCCCAGATACTGGACTTTGAGCCAACAAACACACCACTCCCAACAGATACGGGTAACAGCTTTGTGAACCAAAACGATTTTTGGCAATTCAACACCACTAGCAACCAGCACTATGTCCCAGGGTACATGTCGACCCCTGAAACTGACCAGTATCATCATGCAACACTTCCGCCGTCGTCAATGGCCACTGGTTTAGTGGCCGACCGTGTTATGTGGCCCAATACCCATACCATGCCAGGCGAAGAACTTAACGAATGGTTTGGCGGATCAACTGTAAACTAAACACAGTTGGCAAGTTGAATTCTGGACAAAAGTGAATGGCAATGCCGCTTTTTCTCCGAACCCAAGTTTCCCTTCTTCCCATGTTTTATTGAAAACATTTCTCCCCCTTATTCCCCTATTTGTGTTTCATGCTTCATGGTGGCACTGGCACCTGCGGCTCTTTCGGATACATGGATGCGGATGGCAGGCGCACAGAGGAGTGATTGGAATGCTGGCGTTATCATCATGGTATCGAACCCTTTCCCCCTTATTGGCTTCCTCCATGAAATCCTGATTTCCTTTGAGAGTCGAGATTGGAGAATACCAAAATGGACTCCCCTTGTTTCCCTTTTGTTCCTTTACTTATCCTTGGTATCACATTTCTTTTCATATCATTCCCTTCCCTCTACTCAGCACGGCTCCCCGGTTCCCTTCCTTACTACTATCCCATGTTCATGCTTATGCCATCGGAGGCTTTCTCGTTGCGTTGGGATACCGTTCCATTCATGAGACTTTTGCATCACCATCATCATCATCATCATCATCATCATCATCATCATCATCATCATCATCATCTGGGTTGGTAATAGTGACTTTGTGTTTTTCGAATATTCTTCCGTAGTAAATTAGTTTAGTTAGAAAGTGCACTCTTCACAGAGAATGAGATTTGATTCACTTTCATATCTTCACTTCAGGAAGGAAATCGTGAAACACTTGAGGCTCAATCTTTGCTGGTGGCTTGGCGCGGTTTCAGTCAGTAACGAGCTTATCGATAAGCCCTCGATCACGCGTGCGCTTTGCACTCGACTTTTTGCGATTCAACAAGGCATTTCCTTTTTTCCTCGTTTACTCATTGAAGCATCCCCTGACTATGAAAGGCATACATATACAGAGAGCGAATTCATCCATCTACAAGAAGCCGCTAAAGCTATATCTCTCTTGTCTCACTCTTTAGTTAATTTCGGCTAATTGAATCCAACCTGTACTTGTACCTCATTCGTCTTCAACATGTATGGTGATTTGGGGACCAAGCTGGTATGTTGGTGTACTCTGTGTACGGAATATAAGTGTAATTAAGGTAGACTAGCTGTGCAATATGCTAATTCCTCCAGGTTCAACATGCCAAACGCACTCAGTCACTCGCATACCTACCCCCCTACCAACGCGAGATTGTCCAAGCGGTGACACGCGAAGTCCGTGACCTCGACAAAGATGTGGCCCGTATTCTTGAGCAACTTGAGCGAGCCCGAGCCGCTGCAGAGGGAGAAGAGGGAGGCATCCCCCCCCCATCCTTCAACCCCGCGGATGACCCTGCTACCGCCTGCGCTCTATTAGTCGACCATTTATCAATGAGGCGAAACAAACGTTGTCTCCTTGCATATCATAGAATTCGGGCAGAGAAAATAGAAGAAATGTGCTGGAAAGGAATAGACCCGCTAGAACACCAGCAAAGACAGCGGGAGATCGAAAGTGGGAACAACAATAGCGAAGACCATGGAACACTCAGAACTGATAGAACGCCCCTCTCGAATGCGCATTATAACAGTTCGCTCACACCAGTGGAAGAGGAATACTTTCGACAATACAATGAGATGCTGATGGCGTACAAGGGCCACTGGACTGATGTTGATTTAACTGGTAGCCTGGAACCACCGAAAGAGCTATACATCGACGTTCGGGTTCTGAAGGATGCTGGAGAAATCCAGACTGAATACGGGTAAGTGGTCTCATTCCGAATATGGCTCAACCTTTACCCACGTGGTTCTAGTTCAGCTCTTTGCATCTGTACTCGAAGGCTAATGGCGTTGAACTCTTCGCTTGGGAGATACATAGGTCGATCAATTTGACAAAGAATAGTCAGTTCTTCGTGAGGTTGGGAGATGTAGAGCAACTAATCAGCCAAGGTTACCTTCAACGATTAAATTGAAAATTACTCTTTTTTCGCCAAAGCTAAGCCATGTGCGAGAAAACTATATGTTGAATGACTTGACTTTTGAATGGCCACCAGCCTTGGAAGTACCGTATACATCTTCAAAGTCAAAGAAAATCGGCAACCTTATTCCCCGTTCCAGGCCCGAACAATCGAATCGTCCATGGTCCCCTTTCTGATCCCCTTGATTATTCCCTCTCTTGTCTTCAATCCCCTACAATCACCTTGATCCCCTTCATCCCCTCCATCATCCATCCAACCAGCTACTTGCCCGCAGAAAAATGGCTGCAACCGTGGTATTCAAGAAGCCAAACTCGGGAATTCCTTCTCGCCTCTGCCACGTTGTGTAAACCTTCCTTAGCCTTCTTTTGCGTTTGCGGCCTCCCACCAACAACCGGCCTCACAACACCTTTTGGAAGACAGACAAGAAGATATTCCAGCGGATACAGCCTAGTCCGCAGATTAACTGCATTAGCCAGTTTTTCAAGCCCCTCCACCAACCAGGGGTCTTCAACAGCAAATGAACTGAAAATTCTTGACATATACCTTTAAAACCTGGTTTATTGTTGCAATCAACTCCCAAATGTTTATGGGGAAATCATACCGCTGGACCACATTCGGCTATTGGTTCCGACCCGCGTATAAATGCAACTTTGAATAAATGCCGATAAAAGTTGCTAGTTTTATTCTCACGCATGGGTAGAGTAACCGCGCTAGCAAACTGGATATTAAGAATGAAGGTATGGTTTGACCATCACAGACGACTGATGAACCACTAGTGACCTGGTTTCACGAGCCAACTAAATAGTAGTTCAATACTCCATTTAAGTGTTAATTATTGGGGTAAAAATATTTCATAAATTCTCCTTCTAAATGCATTGGGAGATTGTTCTTCCGTTCTTAGTACGGGAATCTAGGGGTCGACAGGAGTTCTGTGCAAGAATATCTGAAACTGAGAAATGGTAAAGGGTATGTAAGAGTTGTAGATTTTAATACATCAGGATATGGAGTCCAACTCAGCCAAAAATTCCAGTGTATCACTCCTTGTCGCTGGGTATCTAGTGTGTGATGTGGCCGAACGGCAAATGTACAGTCACCAGAGGAAACGACCGATCAATAAGCCTCTTTAAACAGAATGATCGGACTTCATATTAGCCAGTATGATATGTCACTCTGGGTATCATCGGTTGACGACTAACAGAGGCTGTTCGCATACATTTCCATCACAGGGCTCCTCAACTATATCTTCGCACCGCCATAGCGAAGATACACGCACGATGTTCCGTACTTCCAGGTCTTCTACTTCATCAACAACCACGGGCTTAAGATGTCACGTATTTTTATCACTATATCGGTCTTTAAAAGATAGCTTCTTGGTGTAGAGTTCCCAGATTGTTATCTTGAGTCCATAGAGACTATCCTTGATCGTTAGAGACGGATCAGTTAAATCAGGCCAGTTCTGAGCCCTCTTTGGTAATACGTCGCTTGTTGCTGTGAGATCATCCCACTAGTATGGGTCTTCATCTGTCCTCCGACTCGCTAAAATCATATATCCGGAGCCGTATATCAACACAAAAGAAGGAGGTTGGCAGGCTTGACATCACCATAGATAATTCTTTAGTGTGCCATTCCCGAAGGATTCAACGTATTTGACTCATCAGCTCTCTGCATCGGCATGGCTCAATGGCTTTCAGGTCAAATGGCGTCTCAAGGCTGAGGATAAGGCCCCGTAGTTCGCTCTCTCCTTCACCATATTGAAGAGCCGATCTTCCAAACACTTTAACGGCGCAGTCCCGAGTTGTTATTCCCACTTTTACACCGTTCGTCCGTCTTCAAACCTGTAAACTTGGGAGTTTCACGAGAAAGAAAAGTGGGTTACGATCATCGGCTGCGACGACGGTCCATATTTGGAGGATCTGAAGCCTATTTCTAGCGTAGCATTGATTTTATTATCAGTTAGTGGAACGAAATATCCTGTGTTAATATACATGAAGACAGAGGCCATGAGATAACTTTTACCGTCAACGTGATATCTAGGCCTTACCACCATATAGCCAAAGCAATATTACTAACTGCAACTCGGCAAGAAATAAGGTGTATAGGAAGGCGTGATGTTCTAGGCGCTTCTGTAATGCATATAGTCGATTCCTTTGCTCGTGAGTAGTTAAATACTAGTATGCGGATGGTCACCAGCTTAGTCAGAGTATGCGGCTCGTGCGTCTTAGTCATCAATATTGCCAAGAAAGGCCGTGAGATAAGCGTCAGTCTTGGCATCGAACCCGAACTTCAACTTCAACTTCAGCCTTACTTGGCCGCTTCGCAGAGCGAGAAGAGGCGTGAGCATCGGCCATGAGACGAAGCTCGTGGATGCTTTACTGGCAAGAGGTAAAGCCGTCCATGCTGCGATAAAGCTACTCCTGCTGCTGGCGGGGGTTGGGACGGGGAGAGGGGAGAGATATCTTGTAGCCGGCTAACCATTGTGTGTTGATTATAGTTCGCGACTAGCGCGGTGTCAAAGCCCAGCATCTGCCGTGCATGGTCGCCACAATCGCCAGGGCCATCGAATCCATTTGCCTATCTTATCGCCAGGGAGGCCTTGATATAATCAAGTATGTTGAGACAAGTGAGCCAGCCGAGATGACCGATCAGTGTGTTTTTACTCTCTCACCGACCTCTCTCAAGCTTGCACCGAAGCGCTTCGGAAACGCCCCAAAAGATAACTACTTCGTATTCGCCCGGACGCTGGTGGCCATCCTTGTACCTCGTTAGCCTCTTTGCGTCATTCCCTGCTCCGCCTGCCTCGGTCTGGTATGGAGAAGCTATCACAAGACCACTAAGAGGGGAGACATTCAGGATCACAACCATCGCCTCTTCATTTGTACATTCTTCCCCTCAATAAAATATAACTTCCACTAGAATGCACCGTCTACGGATTTTGCTGTAGCCCTGGGATACGACCCCTTCTGGCCCTCCATCATCTCTAGTGCCATTTTCGCTTTCTTGGGTCGTGGAAAGCAACAGGATGGATGGGGGAAAGGGGAAAACCCTCCCAGCCACTGGCAGGCGCCGTTCGTCGACCTTTTCCAACCTAAGCTTCCTCAGAGATGCTGCCCCGGCTATTGATCGAAGAGTGAGTGCGACAACTACCACTGCGGGTCACAATTCAGATCTCTTGCAAGCTCCAGACGTTTCAAACGGAGCTTCATTACGTCGCCGTGTGTCTGCCAGCGAGAAGACACCGACACGATCATTTTACCATCGAACATTTCATGGGCCATTGGGTGCGTACCTAATACCGCGGATTCATCCTCCTTTTAATACACAAGGCTAACGGTTATCTATCCTTTAGACACCGCCCAATACTCCTCACTAGGAGTTCGAGAACGGACTGCAGAGATCGAGTCTCTAGCCCTATCTGACGCCGAATCAATTAGCCATAAGTCGCTCTCCGGTTATGCGAGTGATTTATCTACATCTACTGGCGGTTTATTCACCAGGGAAGGTTGGGCTGGAGATGGAGTGTCGGAGCGTCTCACTCGGTCTCGGTCCCGACCAGAGGCCATTGAAGAAAGGTCAGAACCGACCACCCCCCGAGGATCCGCCTTCCCTTCGTTCGTGGGTGAATCTGCCTTGACTGCCATGTTACGATCGTCCCCAACGAGCCCCTTGAAGAAATCTACCAGTGCTCCCGTGCAATCTAAAAGAGACTCGACCATACAAGAACCCAATGAGGATGATGACGAAACGGCCCTTGGTCACCGCCCGGTGGCATCTATGCCTCGGATCATAGATCCCGAGCAAGCACCGTTGATCAAAGTTCACAGCAGCTCCAAGTATGGTGCTATACCTGACGGCCCTGAAGACTTTGGACCCCAAAGACCAGATTTAGCTAGCTTAGGCCGATGGATGGCCTCAAAACCTCCTGCATGGGCAAAGACTATTTGCAACCCACGGACGTGGGACAAAAAATTTATATATGAAAATGGAGTACATTTACCCGTCAGCCTACTGCCAGCTGTTTTCTTAGGCCTGCTTCTCAACATCCTAGATGCCCTTTCCTATGGAATGATTCTCTTTCCGTTGGGTGAACCCATTTTTGCTGCTATGGGCGCCGATGGCATTGCCATGTTTTATGTCAGCACTATCATCTCCCAGTTGGTTTTTTCCTGCGGAGGCTCGGTCTTCAAAGGCGGTATCGGCGCGGAGATGATCGAGGTCGTCCCCTTTTTCCACGCAATGGCAACACAAATTCTCAACAGAGTGGGAGACGATGACCCTCGAGCTGTTTATGCAACAACAATTCTAGCATTTTCTCTGAGCGCCATACTCACAGGGCTTGTGTTCTTCAGCATGGGAGCATGCCGCCTTGGCTCCCTAATTGGGTTTTTCCCCCGCCACATTCTCATCGGCTGCATTGGTGGCGTAGGATGGTTCCTTGTCGTTACTGGTATCGAGATATCCGCTCGTTTATCAGGCAATCTAGAATACAACCTCAAAACATTAGAGAAGCTTTTCCAGCTTGATACCATACCACTGTGGACTGTTCCGTTGCTTCTTGCTATTGGTCTTCTTGTTCTGAAGCGTTTCATACGTTCTAATCTCCTTCTATGTGCCTACTTTGTAGCCATCGGGGCCGGTTTTTACATTGTTAAGTTTATTACGAATGTTTCTATGAGTTCATTGAGGGAAGGAGGGTGGGTTTTTTATGCTCCTGCATCTTCACAACCATGGTACCATTTCTATACGTTATACGGTATGTATCGTCTGCCCCACGAGACAAACTAAGATTGAGGTTAACCGACGATACAGATTTTTCGGCGGTTCACTGGGCTGCACTTGCAGAAACTGTTCCAGCCATGTTTGCATTAACATTTTTTGGCATTCTTCATGTTCCCATTAACGTTCCTGCGCTTGGTATTTCAACAGGTGAAGATCACCTGAATGTAGACCGAGAGCTGGTCTCACATGGAATTTCCAATGTATTTTCCGGCTTCGCTGGTAGTGTGCAGGTATGGCGTTACTTCATCACTTGTTACCGGAACGAGAGCTAACAAACAGCCTAGAACTACCTTGTATACACGAATAGTCTCCTTTTTATCGCTAGTGGAGGCAATCACCGTCTAGCAGGCATTATGTTGGCGGTTGGTACATTTGGAGTTCTAGTCATTGGACCAGGTATAGTTGGATATATTCCGATTATGATTGTTGGTGCTCTGATATATATGCTTGGAATTGAGCTTCTAGAGGAAGCACTGGTTGATACATGGGGGAAGTTGCATAGACTTGAGTATTTGACTGTGAGTGTGGCCTAATTTCGCTAATTTGCACGGTCCACCTGCTAATCCCAACTACGTGGACTAGGTTGTAACAATTGTTGTCACGATGGGAGCATGGGACTTTGTTGCGGGTATTATTGTGGGTATCATCCTCGCATGTGTCAATTTTGTGGCTCAAACATCACAAAAATCCGCGATAACAGCAACATACACAGGCCAAGTGGCCCTTTCTACCGTTCGGCGACACCCGCTGCACGCAAGGTTCCTGCGTGAGGCGGGAAAACAGACATTCGTCATCAAGCTCGCCGGTTTCCTCTTCTTCGGAACCATTGTCAGTGTCGAAAAGCGGATACGCGGATTGGTGGATGCAGAAGCATTCAGCGAGCGGCCCATCAGATTCCTGATACTCGATTTCTTATATGTCAACGGGCTAGACTTTTCGGCAGCTGAAGCCTTTACAAGGCTGAATAGGATACTAAAGAAGAAGGGAGTACACATGCTTGTATGCGGGCTTGATATAACGGGAGAGGTTGCAACAAGCCTGCAAAATGTCGGCCTCTTTGGGCTGGACGATGCGGTCGAAATTTTCCAAGATCTGAACTCTGCGCTTGAGCACTGTGAGAACGAGGCCCTGAAGGCAATCCACGACCACAAAGAAACTTCACCCGCCGGGCTATCTCCCAGTGAAGGAAACCTGAGTAAGTCTGTTCTTTGGCGGTGTCTATTGTTGAAATAATGAGTCGGATCATCATTGCTAAGTAAGGGATGTTTCATATAGAACCATTAAACAAGGCCCATGCCCAGACACTGGCGGCAGACATGGCTGCCAACAGTCCTCGTGGCTATTATCTGCACCAGCTAGCGTCCAATTTCCTGCGGGAGGAAGCCGAAGACACTCGATCGGGCAAGATCCTTCACAAACGCCTATCACCAGCACAACAGCAGCAGCAGCCGCTCCCGCTGCTGCTCCAAACCTTCCAAGGTCTCAGCATCAAGTCCGCAGAGTTTTGGCTTCCCGTGTGTCCATATTTTACACGGGCTGAGTTTGCAGCATCTTCGGTGTTGTACCGCGAGAACGACTACCCGGGTCAGTTCTACCTGTTGGAATCAGGTATGCTACGAGCGGAACATGCCACTCCACAAGGGCGGAGCTACTTTGAGCTCATCGTGGCTGGCCGACCATGTGGCGAGCTGTCTTTCTTTGGTGAGACGAGCCGCAGTGCGACCGTGAGGGCAGAACGTGACTGTGTAGTCTGGGCGCTAGGGACGAAGGAGTGGGAGACACTTCAGGTAAAGGAGCCGACTGTTGCATTGGAGTTGTTGAAAGTGTGTTTGAAATTGACAGCTGAGCGGACGGAGAGCATCACATCGTAAGTTCTTCTTGTTACTTCCCTGCCCTCCCCGCTTGCATCAAGAGTCCCTTATCAATGCATGGCAAACGGCTTTTAATCCTCCCCTGCACGCACGATTGGACGATGGGTCCAATAGCAAGGGGGGGAAGAAGCAAAGAGAGGGAAAAAAAAAAAAAAAAGAATTGATAAAAGAAGCTCCATGGTCTCTCTCCCCTTGTACGATCGACCGGCGCTAACAGCTCATTTTAGATACGTTTTGACAGCCACACGCTGATTGCAGGTGCCCGGAGTGGACTGCCGGCGGTCCAAAGTTTTTCTCTTACCCTTCTCGCAGCCCCATCGGTTCACTTTGCTATCAAGGACGAGCATGAGATTGACCAGCCCAGGGGGTGTGTTTTGCCCCTTTCCCTGTTTCTAGACTACCAGTCTTCACCACGAAGAGCAGACGAAGTCTGGACATGATTACAGGCCACTCCTCTCGCCTACCGTGACAAATTGTTCGAATCGGAGCTGGTCAAGCTGGTTGGCAGCTGTTTCAAGTGGCCTGACGCAGGGGCCTGCTGAGTAGTTGAAGCTCCTGGTGACAAGGCCACAGCTACCCTAGCCTAGCGTCGCAGAGCGAAAGGCCCCAAAAAAAAAAAAAAAAAAAAAAAAAGGAAAAAAGGAAAAAGGAAAAAAAGGGGGTACTTGGGCAGACCACACAAAGTCGCTTCATAGCTCTCGAACGAGTGAGCGAGCGGCGTGTTTCCACTATTACGCGATAGTAGTAATTTATGATGATTATATGGTAACGAACGACCATATGATGACAGGCATCGAATTTCCATCTTGTCTTCGAACTAAGGTATTAGTTATCTGTATTGGCTGTAATTCCCGTATATCCAATCTCTGGCCCTCTGCCGTGTACTCCACTAATCAATAGCGTGTGCATGCTAAGGATGGGTAAACACCCCCATCTGGCGATTCGCTGCTGGCACCGCTGGCCTCGCCACCAACAGTCACATCGGCCCTGCTCTGCGTCCTCTGGCATCCTCGTCGTCTCATCTCCAGCATCCCTCGCCATCTATCAAACCGGCCCCGACGAGGAGTCGCCAAAGGGACAGCCCTGGAAGGGCGACAAAAAAGGGCGAAACACAAAGCGATGGACATGTGACTTGATGCCAAGACAAAAGAGAGTTCTCCACCCAAAATAGGGGAGTCACGTGGTATCAAGGGGGTCTCAGTCTGGTCTCTAGTTATTTACTTGTATTATTATCATTATGACTGCAGTGACTGCCTCGAATCAGAACTCGGGGGAGACGTGAGTGCGCACACACGGAGCTGCATGCATGCACGGTATAACTCGAGCAGTGACACCCGGCGACTAGACGGCCAGCGACGGAGGACACAGAAGTACCTGCATCGATCTGCCCTCTGCTCGCTGCTGCGATGGCGTCTCTGGCGTGTCTATAGCGGTATCTCCGGAGCTTATGTAAGGGGGCAGCAGGCCGTCACGTCACGTAACTGACCGTACGGTACCGCTGATCAGACAGCGGGAATTGGCGGCGCTAGACCCAAACAGGCAGCAAGTGCGGCTTGTGCAGTGGGCAGCTGGGTCAGGTGGGCGGCCAGGAGCTCGCGGTACAGGTATTACGCGTACGGTCATGACGGTACCAGGGCAAAAAGGGGCAGCCCCGCCCAGCGTAACTTACCACCCTTGTACCGCTCTTACCTTACAAGTCACGGGCTCCTCCCTTTTTTTTTTGTCCTGTAATTTATCGCCCAAAGCGGAAAAGAGCAAAATAAAAACGGCCTCCTTGTCGCAAATATTAATCCGGCCTTTTCTCTCTCCTCCTCCTCTTCCTCTTCTTCCTCTTCTTCGTCTGCTCCAGCTTCTGCCTTCTTGAGATACCCAGTGATACCTTTTTCTTTTCTTTTTTGCTTGCTTCACCTTTTCCATCTAATAATTAACACAGAGAGTCTTCTCTTAGCTATTTTAATCACCTCCTTTCTTCGCTTCTTCGTGATACCCGAGATACCCGTTTCCGCCCCTCGAAAAGGACGCCTGTAGCTACTTTTAATATCCGCTTCATTACACACCGATCCCCAAAATATAAACACGCCCAACGAGCTCACGACTACAAGAAGCAGCCATGTCTGAAGTCCAGAAGCCCGCCGAGGAGACGCCCGCCGTCGTCCCGGAGACCACTACCACCGCCGCTACCGAGACTCCAGCAGTCACCGAGCCAGTGGCCGCTGCAACAGCCACCCCCGAAGAGCCCGTCAAGGCCGCTGAGGAGGCTCCCGCTGCCGAGGAACCTGCTAAGGAAGAGCCTGCTCCTAAGGAGATCACCCCAGCCACTGACGGCCAGCTTGGATACAAGGCCCCAGGACTCGTCAAGTAAGTAGTACAAGGCAGATAACATATGCATGCTTTTGGTAGCGAGGGGAGAGGGGTATAGGGGAAAAAAAAAACAAGACTAACAAAACTCTGGATAACAGGAGTTTCCGCTTTGTCAAGAGACACTTCTGGTTCAGCGAAGAGCCCGTCGAGAGCAAGCAGCTCATCTCCTACTTCCAGAATGAAAAGCTTAGCTTTGCTCACCCCAACGCTGCTTGGGCCAGCCAGACTGGCAAGGGTCTTCTCTTCTTTGCCAAACGCGCTGAGGACAAGGCCAACCCTGCCGGTATCATCAACTTGGTATGTTTGAGTTCTAGATAAAGTCATGGGCAAGACAGAGAGGGGAGTTGGGCTAACGCGTAGTTGTAGAGTGATGTCACCGACATCGCCAAGGACGGCAGCAACGAGTTCATCTTCAAGCTCCACGGCCAGAAGCACACCTTCCAGGCCACCGACGCCGACGAGCGTGACAGCTGGATTGCCGCCATCGAGGCCAAGTCCGCCGAAGGAAAGGCCGCCAAGGAGGAGATCGTTGGTGGTGAGGGCTACAAGAGCGAGCTCGAGAAGTTTAGTACGTGACCATTTTGTAACGCCCCCAATCTAAAGCTTATTTATCGTTTTGACTAACGGTGGTACAGCCAAGGTCCCCGTCGTTGCTGCTGTTGCCGGTACTGCAAAGAAGGTGACCGACGAAGCCAACAAGGCCGTTGATGCTGTTGTCGAGCCAAAGGAAGAGAAGAAGGACGACAAGAAGAGCCGCTCTCAGTCTCGCAAGCGTGCCAGCATCTTCGGAAACTTCCTCGGAAAGAAGGAAGAGCAAGAAGAGAAGAAGGACGAGCAAAAGGAGGAAGACAAGACTGAGGAAAACAAGGAGGCCAAGAAGGATGATGCTGAAACTACTCCTGCTGTCATCGATGCTCCTGCGGTCACCGAGCCTGCCGCTGCCGAGACTGTTGAGGCCTCTACTGCTGCTGCTGAGCCAGCCGCTGATGGTAAGTTTCAATCTGGTTTACAAAAGATCACATCACATAAGCCCTCATTTACTAATCATTTACACCTTTACTAGCTCCTGCTGAAGAGTCAAAGCCCGAGGAGAAGAAGACAGAGACTCCTGTCAAGTCTAAGCGTACCTCCATTTTTGGCACCTTCTTCCAGAAGTTCCCCAAGGAAGACCATGACAAGGCCAAGAAGGAGGTCGGTTCTGAGACCCCAGCTGTCTCTAGCACCGCTCCCCAGCTCGGCGACCCTGTCGATGCTACGACCTCCGAGCCAATCAAGCCGGAGACTGTTACTGCTCCCAATGACGATGCCGCTGAAAAGACCGAGAAGACCGAGGAGGTCACTACCCCAACCTCGGGCAACAAGTTCCTCTCCTTCATGAAGAAGTCTGACAAGATTGAGAAGGCTGAGAAGGCTGCCACTGACGCCGTCGAGAAGAAGGTTGATGAGGCCGTCACCAAGGCTGACGAGACTGCCACTGCTGCAGTTGATGCTGTTGTTCCCGGCCTCAAGGAGAAGCGCCGTACATCGCTCTTCGGCAACCTCGGTGGCAAGAAGGAGAAGAAGCCTGAAACCGAAGGTGAGGCCACCGAGGGTGAGACGAAGAAGTCTGGTCCCCTCGCCCAACTCTTCCGTAAGCCCAGCAAGGCTATCAAGAAGGATAAGGAGCCTACTGCCAACCCAGTCTCCGAGGCTGAGCCCATTGCAGAGGAGCCTGCCACGGAGACTCCAGCTGCTACCACCACCACCGAGCAGGCTGCCAACGGTGAAGATCCCAAGATCACCGAGGCCCCCACTTCCTCTGAGCCCGCTCCTGTTGCTGCCACCCAACCCGTGCCCACTGCCGCATGAAGAGCAGACGCCAGGACGAGCTCCGTTGAAATCGAAAAGTGGTGGGACCAGCGGTATTTGCACTGTCCTGGTTTGTCTACAGCATAACGATATCAACCGAACAAACGAATAAAATAAAAAATCCCCCGAACACAGCACCTTATTCAATTTAACACTCAACACTGTCCTGTTATCAAACCAATCCTTGACGCAGCCCAGCCAACTTCCTAACGAGCATGGCAATGACTTTGAACAAGAAAAAACAAATCCAGTTCTTTAAAAACCTCACTCTAATATATGTCTCGTGTGTTCGTGTGTGTGCCCGTGTTTCCCCTATCCTTTTCTTGTGTTTCGTATGTCTTGCTTTTCTTGTCTAATTAATTACTGGCTCGATCCATCCAAATTTCCAACTTGCCACTCCCTACTGTTTCGTCCCTCTCTCTGTACGCGGTGATGATGCATGGTTGTCTTGTGGGAATTATCAGAAAATTTTAATCAACAATCCAAAAAAAAAAAAGGCGAGGTGGACGTGAATGATACCCATACCCGATCCCGATACCCCCGATACCCAAATCATACCGTTTTGTGCTGCTTGTGTTTCCTTTTCTTCCTGTTAATTAATTACTCGCTTTTAGTCCTGCATAATTCTGCTTCGTTCAATTCTCCTTTTCCAGATTGTAAACGTCATTCTCCTCTCCCAGTCGTATTTCCATATCACGGTCTATGATTTTGTCTTGTGTTTCGACTCTTGGACTCTAGTTGCAGTATGACTTGTTTATTACTTTAAAGTTATGTATGCCGCTACTCTCTACTCAACTATCCAAATTGATAATTATAACTTTCCACGAATACTTTGCTCCAAGTTTCCCCGGCTTTTCTCATCGTACCTAGGTAGCCCAACTTACCACTCCCCTGTCTGTATGCATGATATTATGATACATCACCTTCACCCACAAGCCATTAGCCTGCAGGAGATGAGCAGACCGCATGATTCAAACCGACGAATAGAGGCCTGTATTACACAGGCTCGTATTCACTCCCCCACCATGCATGCATCATGTTACTGATGGCCTGTCATGCTGCCTGTCAAACAAGGCAAACCAGAGCTTGATTGGCAAGCACTTCATGTTCTCCCATGGAGAATGTCAGTTTATTGAAACGGAAACGGGTTGTAAGTACATTAACTTACACTTACGCCTGTATGTATCAAAAGAGACACGTCCATGCACACTGTGAGTAGACCTAAATTAGTTATACTGTATGAGTTTGCATAGAAGTAACAAAAGTAATCCGTCAGTCAGTCAGCTCATCGTCAAACCAGCAGTTAATTCGTGCGACCGGCTAAACCCATTCAACGTCGGACTCGCGGGGGTATGAAAAACGAAAAACAAACCAAGGAAACAAAGTGAAAAGGGCTAAATATGGGGGGGAATAGCTGATGATATGCTGTAAATGCATCATCGACTGCAGCGAAATAAGAAAGGCACTTAGAAGTGGCGGATAGATAAAATATCTTCTCGTGTCTGTCTCGGTCTTTGAACAAGTGATCTAACTGATCTATTTGAGGTTGAGTGACTGAAAGGGAAAATAATATCTAGGAGTTAGGTATGCCCGAATCTTAAATCTCTTCCTTTTCTCATGTATGTGCTTCAAGAGCATGTTGGATGGCTAGGTGTGGGTTAGCATCTATAGATAAACACATAAAAGCGCAGTTGGTTCGGTAGGACACACCATCACAAGAAGTCTTTGCATCTCCAAACAGCATCTTGGTACCAGGCATATAGAACATGGGGTTGGGCACATCAGCTATTGGATATGTTAGTTTAACGAGCCTATTTTGGTTGGGCGGGATTTTAAAAACTTACCGTATCCGCTTGACATTCCACGCTTCATAACAATGACTTCCTTGCTCTTCCAGGCATGCAAAACAGGCATTCCCGCAATAGAAGAGTTGGGCTCCAAAGCAATGGGGTTAACCGTGTCATTCGCACCGATGACGAGAGTCACGTCCGTATCGCTGAAGTCGTCGTTGATTTCATCCATTTCAAGGACAACTAATTTCCTTCATTAGCTTCGTGCAATGTAGACTCCGATGAAAAGGAAAACCTACTATCATATGGAACAGCAGCTTCAGCAAGCAGGACATTGCATTGCCCAGGCATGCGGCCAGCGACGGGGTGAATAGCGAATCGAACTTTTACACCTTTAGCACGAAGCATACGGGTGATTTCTGAGATCGCATATTGGGCTTTTGCGACTGCCATGCCGTATCCAACGACCTAGGGGCATAGATTAACAGTTAGTTCAACAAATCAATATTAGAGTAACGTACTATAATAACGCTTTCAGCATTCGCAAGAGTCTCTGCCGTTTCTTCAATGGAAGTCTTGGTAATCTTTCCTTCAATCTGGTGATCCGATTGTGCCTGGGTTGGTGATGATATTCCGCCGAATAGGACGTTGGTTAGAGAACGGTTCATCGCGACACACTTTAGACAGTTAGCCTGACACTATTTCTAGAACTAGTTCAAAATATAGCTAGCCGTGGACTAACCATGATATATGATAGAATGGAACCGCTGATGCCGATAAGCGATCCCACTGTCGTAAGAAGTGGATTGTCGAGCATAAACCCTTCGGCAACAAGTGCAAAGCCAGAATAAGCGTTTAAAACCGTTATCACAACAGCTACATCATTCGTTTAGCATGTCTTCATCAATATTAAAGGATTAAGATAAACATACGCATGTCAGCGCCCCCTATGGCAGCGGTTGTCGTGAACCCCTTTATGAAACTGAGTATGGTACTCGCTGATAAAGCTGCTGCAGCTACCAGGGGAGCGCCCGGAGCCATTGATATAAATCCTCCCATGAGCGCCATGTTGGTCCCCAGTAAAGAGGAGTTTACTATATGTCGACCTTTGAATGCAAGTGGTTTAGACGCCATTTTCCCTGATAACTTCAGGAACGCCACTATGGAGCCGGTGAAGGTGATCCCGCCTGTTTATTCAGTTAGATTAACATTCCATGTTACAATATACGATTCGCGAGGGCTTACCTATAACTACGCCGGAGTATGCTGTAACAAGATGTAGAGTTGAAACATGGTCGATATCAGCGAGGACACTTCCAATACTAGTGAGGACGGCAGCGAGCCCAACAACAGAATGCAGTGCCGCTACCATCTGGGGTAGCTCGGTGGGAGTAATACGACGGCCGATAACGGCACCTAAGTGATGTTATCATAAGTGAATAGAACAACGGAACATGATAACGGTAGAACTAACCAACCAAACCTCCGATGCCAGCTAGTCCGACAAATTGGGCAAGGACTTCGGGAGAGAAGCCCACAGCAACCAAAGAGGCGAGAATACCGGAAGCAACGCCCAAGATACCAAGAGAGTTTCCTGCACGAGCAGTAGCTTGAGATGCAAGACCAGAAATAGAGCCTACATTGTCAGTAGTTGCAGGTCGCACAAATACCACAGAATAAAATACATACTTATGCATAGAATACTGCTGACGAGATATCCTGCTTGAACTAGACCCGCCATGCCAGTGCTCACAGCTGCAAGGTACCCGCCTCCGAACAGTACGCCAGGAATAGCGTAGAGCCATGGATACTCCGGTGGATCAGTAGGCCCTACATAGTATTAGTTTGCGGTGCCAAGCAAAACTTCTGGGGTAACTAGAGCTTACTCTTAAACATGTCTAGCATGCGTTTAGTTATGACGAAGCCGCCTGATACGTTGACGAAAGCGAGGAGAACAGACAATGCACCTAGGGCCTGGGGTATGGTTTCAGGGAAATATCCTCCGCCCATGACAAATAGACCGCCAATTCCCACCATTCCTACATGCAAGTAAGTAGATAGTTGGTATCAGATGATAGAGAGTTACAGTACCTGAAATAGCGTTGGTTACGCTCATCAACGGAGAATGCAATGCAGGGGTGACGCCCCATACAACTCGATATCCAATCAAGCCAGCCAAACCCGCTGTGAAGACATTGCTCATAAACAGTGGACCGGTAAATTTGCCTAAGGCGAGAGCTGTGCCCATTCCACCAGTAACAGTAGCTACTTCTCTTGAGACCTTTTGGAACGGGGTAAGCTCCATCTTAGCCGCGTCAGCAGAAAGAGCTGCGTCCTCTTTCTTCCGAGTTGCTGGCTGCGGAGGAGGGGCGGGCCTGGGAGCAGGGGGCAAAATAGAACCAGCATAGGTGACAATAGAGCCGCGGACGACTTCATCTTCAAGGTCAACACCGAACTGTTTCTCAACGGGGGCCATTGAAAGCAAGACTTAGTGATATTGTTTGAGTACAGCGTAGACGACTGCGTAGGTAGACGGGACGGAAGATCAGTGTATCCTATGATAGTAACGCCATTGGAGCTCACTAACAGCTCCCCCAGGTTTAGTCAGGACACAGTTCCCTCCAGCCTCTGCCGCGAGGTCTACCACGACAGAGCCAGGCTTCATGGCCATGATCATTTCTTCGGTGATAAGTTTTGGAGCTGGTTTGCCAGGAATCAAGGCCGTGGTAACGATGATGTCCACCTCACGGCTTTGTTGGAGGAAAAGCTTCATTTCAGCTTCGATGAATTCCTTGGACATTTCCTTTGCGTAGCCACCGGCGCCGGAACCATCTTCTTGGATGTCTACCTCGATGAATTCGGCTCCGAGGGATTGAACTTGTTCACGAACGGCGGGGCGGGTATCAAAACCGCGGACTATGGCACCCATACGACGTGCCTTGATTTTTCAGTATAAACCATGATGCTTTATGTAAGGGTGGTCGTGGCTTACTGCTGAAATGGCGCTGAGGCCAGCAACACCAGCACCGATAACGAGTACCTTGCCAGGTGGAATCTACACTGCGTTAATTATGGTGATAAGTGGAATGAACAGCAAAACGGACCTTGCTATTGAATGTTAGCATTGTACATGAATGCGGGTAAGCGTAAGAGCATACTCACCCTGCAGCAGTAACCTGACCGGGTAGAAACCTCCCAAAATGGTTAGAGGCTTCTAATATTGCCTTGTATCCCGCTATGTTTGCCATTGAACTACTGGCCATTAGTTTTTCTCTTGTCTCTGTGCTGGCGAAGTTCTAGGTAGTTCACCTGAGGGCATCAAAGACCTGGGCACGGGAGATCCTAGGAACCATATCCATGGCGAAGGCCGTGACGCCTCTCTTGGCCAAGGCTTCAACCAGGTCTCTGTTAAGCGCTGGATAGAGGAAAGATATGACCGTAGCGCCATCCTTAACCAAGCCTACCTCGCCACGATTGAGGCTGGGAGCTCGCACCTTGAGCACGATGTCGCTTCCCCAAACGTCGTGGCGGTCCATCAAGCTAGCCCCTGCATCTATATATGCCTTATCCGTGAACTGGGATGCTGCACCAGCTCCACGCTCGACCAGCACCTGGTTGAACCCTTTCTTAAGCAAGAGGGCGGCATTAGCCGGGGTGAGAGAGACACGGCGTTCTGACGGGTATGACTCGAGAGGCACGCCGATGGTGAGAGAGGAGTACGGGACCGTTTTGATCTTGCCGTCACTTTGCTGTTGCTGCTGATGCTGGTGGCACTGGGACGAGCAGGAGAAGAAACGAGCATGCTGCCCGAAGCTGACCAAAGCTCTCCGCAGGGAGGTGATGTTGTTCATGGTCGCGTGTCTCGCAGTAGGTGGAGAACGGGTATCATTCTACTGGGAACTACCTCCGAGATGGCCGCCAGACCCCGTTGCAACTATCGTTGAGCAGTGTTAGCATCTACTAAGGGCGTATAAATGCGTTATAGAAGTGCTGCTGTGGATGTCGTGAGGGGTCGACTGGGATAATTGCGGCCTCTCTCCGCAACGAAGCTCCAGAGAGCGCGCGATCTTATCTTGATCTTATCAACAAAGGCCGCAGCGACGGAGGATCAGGCTCCGCCTTATGTAATACAAAGCTTAGTCATTATGGGGTGGGTGGGAAGCCTTGGCATGCTCCTCCCCACAACTTCTCTTCATTCCACAGAGAGAGGGCTGGAAGGACAACAACGCCAGCTATTTGGCCAAAGGATCAAGCCCGCACTAGATTATGGTAACTAAGCATAGGTTGCAGAGAGTGGCTATTTGCCTTGCTTCTCTACCACATTTGCTTGCCGTCTGTACGAAATCTTCATTATTTGTAAGTCTGCCTCGACATGGACTCATCAGAGAGAAAGCAGTATACGGAGTATCACACGTCTCATTCTTTTTCATTTGAGACAAAACTGCTGCTGCTGGTGTGAAAAGATACGCCTAATTTTCAAAGATATCGATACCCAATAATACATGCGACCATTCCCTGTTCCGACATACTAATCTTGATACCAGATTAATACGAAGTGTCGATAGGACCGCGGGAACGGCCTGGAGATCACTCGCAAAACGAGACGTTATTTAACTCGTAAAACGGATCATAAAAAGAATGCTAATTAATATAACCTTTTTATTTCTGCTACATCCGCTTACGATTAAGCATGCTCCGTACGAGAGTACGCGTTGGGGAGTCGTCTGAGGGATGAAAGATTCCGTCGGACCTGAGATAAGAGGGGGGGGGATGAGATATGTTCCTCTTAGTCAGCACGCGGCCCGAGATAACCTTGGGAAGCTTGGCATCAGTCACATGGCTGCATCTCCATGTTCTTCCGAAAAGGGAAATAGGTAGATAACAGCGCAGAGACCGCTGTGGAAGAGAGAAACGCCAGGGCGAAAACTCGACAAACCCACATCGCTAGCTCAGGCAAGCAAAAACATGAAACGGAGAATAGAGTGAGCAGAAGATATTCAGCGGAGAGGAGAGCGACAGCTGCAAGCCGACAAGAGGGACTGGCAGCGACAGGCCGAGTGATCCGGCAAAAGCGGCGAAGGATGGCTGCCTGGCTTCGTGTTCCAGCGCTGGAGTGCGCAGGCTGAGGCGGCGTTGAGCCGCATCTCGTTTCTTCTGCAAGGGTTCGCATCCACGCCAGAAGCGAACTATCGGTTTCAGCTGCGCCCACCACCGCCCACGGCCGCCTTCCACCCTCTCCCTCCCGCTGCTGCTGGCCTCGTCGACCTCGCCGTCGCCTCTGCTGTCTCCTCCATCTTCCCGCGTCTCGCTGCGACTTTTCCTCGTCCCGCTGCGGTCGTCCTTTCTGCTGACTAAGACTTG